CAAGACACACTTATATTTGGGTGTGTTGCAAATTCGTGTAATCACTGTTCCTTGAGGCTTTCAATCCGCACAAACGGAATGCTGCATATACCCGTCTGACGATGCATATGTGCTTTCAGTGATTTGGCCGAGTAGTGAAACTTCCTCAAAAGATGAACAACTGAATTTGTTCCTCCCCTAGGACTTGTGCATCATGTGCTTGCAGCAACCTGAGCAGACATGAAGCGCGAATCGCAAGCGCAGATGCACAAAGAAGGCCACTTTCGTAGAGGTTAGCGATAAGATATTGAAAGAGATGAAAGAGATTCAAAAATATATCAAAGTTAAAGTTTTATTATGGGAAGTACTTACATGTGCATACTTCTCTTTTCCCCATTAAAATATTTTCATAATCAGATCGCTTCTCCCAGAAAAAAATGGTAGTATCACATAAAACTAATGTAGTCTTCAACTAATTTGTGTTTATTTTTAGTTGTATGGGATTGTGAAGTGTACAAGGGTTTCAAGTCTCCATTTGAAAGATTCAACGGTTGGTGCATAAACGACATGAGATGTAAGGCTGTTCCAATTACTACACCCTCTGATTGAAAAGACTGATTCTGGTATTCCAGTCAACAACTTGAAATCAATAACTTGAAACTATGTACCCTAAGGTGTGTTACGCGAAAAGGTGAGCAGCGGCTGACATAGATGGTTTGGGTTTGTGGTATGTGATAAACCGAAATCAATTCACCTCAAATTCGAAGGTACTGAACAGAATATAGTCCCAATGCTCGTAATCTCTCCTCATACGTGAGGTAATGCAGTCCCTTTACCATCTTGGTGGCAATTCTTTGTGGACGCTCCAGAATTTTACGATCAAGTTGTAATCATGGACACTAAGCTTGGATGGGGTACTCNTTTGTGAAGATTTTCACAGTCGGTATTGCGTTCAATGGAACGGAGTTTTGGTGAGTCAACCGTCCGAGAGGACATCAACCAAGCACCTACGCGTTCCAATTTCTGGATATCGAACTATGAGCCAAAGTTATCGATCAATCAACAACCATATAGCACAAACAGAAGCCGTGTGATTAGAGGAAGAAAACGTCGATTGGCTAATGCGCTTTTGAGAAATGATATTTATATTTGAACATTGTTTTATTCCAATAACCTCTCAGTAAATAAACCGCTACTTCTATGGTCTCTTTACCGCATCACCGGAGCTGGAGACTCCAGCGTACGATTGCTAGTGCCACGCTGTGCTTCACTTGCAACCGTGATTTCTATTCCGTAATCCGTGGCTACTTCGATTGCCACAAGAGCTCTGTGAGACAGAGACTGAAAATGGGGCTAGACATTATTAGCCATCCCTGGTTGCCAACAATACCACGTCACTCTCATTCAAACAGGATGGGTGAGCAATTGTGAAGGAAGGGAATGAATAAGTGCACTTAAAACCATAAATCCGAGTTCGATGGGTGAATTACCCATAGTGTTAGATAAAATCTTGCTGCAATTCATGAGCGATCAAATTACTTAAGTCTCGGATTAAATGGTAGTCATTGTAGTGCAAGAGCTCCACAAATCGGATTTACTTCTCAATAGACAATCTCCGTGAGAGCGGTAAAAATAAGATAGGGATCACGGATATGATAGTTGCGATGGGCAATCAGCATTGATTAAGTATTTTTCATGCCACCATGCCCGCATGGTGGGTGACGACCATGTACATCTGGCAACGAATCTTGTTGAAAAGGGAACTCCTAGACACAATGAGAGAATAAATTGCACTGTTTGCACTGAGAAGATCCACAGCCGGCGCGGGGGGAATTATGTTGAGAGCAAATCCTTGTCTAGCGAGCACAGTTATGATTATCTGCGGGTATGAGATAGTGTCAATCAGTGAGCAAGTCATAACACCATCCTGACGACCACAATCGAATGTACCATTGGGGTTTATCGAGAGGTAGGAGATGGTGGCACATAGAAAAAGAAGAAGAATACTGTGCGCATAAAAAAAAATAATGATGAGGATTCGCTGTTGTTATAAAGTTTTCGTAATTCTAGTAATTGTTGTATGATTTCATAAAAAAAACAGAGGCCCTCCACACTCTCGTATTCGTATTCAAGAGGATGTACTTTCAACTAGAGGAGAAGCAGTTGTAATTTTTCACATCTGCTATAGTCATTATAAAACGAAACTAGTTTCTGTTGCATCTATAAAACCTAGGTTACCCGTCGCTTTTCTCTAATTCGTCTCTGCACATATAAACCTGATCGGGAAAGAGCAAGCTGGATTTCACTGACAGTATTTATTGTTTTTCTGTTTAAAATAAACACCTCGTGGTGACTGAATGGACTGAGTTACCCGAAGCATAGCATTTCAAAATAATGTAAACAATCTCTCAAAGTGTTAGCCGTCGCACGTATAGCTTCGGGGTAAACGTTTCGACTTCCAACCGGACAGTTCACACTTCGACTATGCGTTCTTGATGAATCCTTGGTGATCCAAGTAGTAGTAGTAGTCAAAGTCAAAGTTTTATTATGAGAATAGCTTACAAGCTGGTGCTTCTCTTGTCCCATAGGATATTTACACAGATGAATCGTTACACATCGAAAAAGGAGTCGCATAGAGATCCGGGTAGGAGATAGAGAATGTAGGCTACTAGAGTATGTAAGCTAGCAGTAGTAGTAGTAGTAGTAGTAATACGCACGGAACTCGGAACACAAACCACGCCATAGGAATCACAAGACACGAATCAAGGATCAGCTATCACGGACTGGAATACGGAAGCACTGGATCGCAATGACACTGGCACGCAATGTCCCACATAACTGAGATGCGAGGAAAAGGCTACAAGAATGGTTGTTCGTAGTTCATTTATTGGGAGAAATGAGGGCGATTAAACAATATGTACAAAAGAAGATCACTGGTTATCCGGTCTTCCGCCAATCGTATTGCAGTATTGCTTGCATAATTCTGCTTCTGTCTGCACAGTCTCGGATTGGCTCGTAC